GGTAGCTATACAAACAAAACGTGAACTAAGTTGTATTAATAATACTGAATTGGATAGAATATCTTGGTATAAGTAACATGGGGTACCAAAGTGTCCTTCCTGATCTTTGGGAGAACGGAGATGCTGATGAGGAACATAGGCGCAAAAAATATATATAAGATATGATATATATTTCCAGTTTTAAGAGTATCGATATAGATAGCTTCTTTTGGGGGGTCCTTTTTACCTTAGCTGTCTCTCCTGTATGCTATTTTACCTATTATTGTGTTTCTTCTCCCATTGTATGCGTGTTTGGGTTTTGTACCAGGGGTCCACTGCTCCACTCCCTTCCTTCTCTGTCAGCAAAAATATCTTCTTAGTCTACTTCTTGGCACTTGCGTAGTAGTAGGATTGAAGCGAAATGCTGTTGCATTGTCGCTTTCTTTTATTAACCGCATCGAGATGCTTGCATTCCGGGGTCCTGACCGAGCGCAGTCCGTTACGCGAGTTAGTCGCCGCGCCACCGAAGGACAAGACGGCCTTCCGACGGGAACGAAAGCGATCGAGCGCCTCGACGGCGAAGCCCCCGAAAACGAACCTACGCCCGGAGAAGAACCACCCGCTAAGCGACCGCAATCGTCCCGATCACCACCCCAGTTGGGAAGCCGACGCCGGTCCGGACAGGGGGGATCTCCTTGAGCGCCTTCTGTCCGCCATTCCCCCCGGCCTCCGCGGGGTTTCGCGGGGGGAGGGGGGGACGGCGCCTTTCCCAAGGCCCCCGATCCCCCCGAGGCGAGCGCGACGGCCGCCGCGGATCCGGTCCGTTCCCCCCCCGTCGAGGCCTCGGAGGGCCGGCGACGGCTCGAGCTCACGCGCCGCGCCGTCAACCTCGGCGAGACCGCCGCCTCGAGCGCGACGTACGCCGCGAACGAGCGAATCGAGCGCCGCCGCGGTAAATGGGCCGTCGCCGAGAGCGAATTTACGGTGGGGATCACCGAGCGGTTATTCCCCGAGATCCGCCGGCTGCCCGCCCTGCACGAGCTGCACTACGGCGATGCCGTCTTGCGGGAGTTGGACAGCGGGACGTACCTCGGCCAACTCCAGGCCCGCCCCGGTGGCGACCCCGAGGCCGTCGAAATCGACCTCGACGCCGACTTCGACTTCGCCCGCTTCGAGGCCGAAAGTCAGGGCTTGCAAACCCCCGCCGAGCCCGCAGCCGCGGGGGCTGTCGAGCAGGATCCACCGCGGAGTTCCCCCGAGGCGGACGATAGCCGCGAGGCGGCGATGACGAGTGGTTCGAACCCCCTTTTGGACCCAACCGACCACTCCCTCGACGAGGACAATGGCATGGTTCAGTACTCTCTGCAGAAGCCGCGGTTTCTAACCGAGGCGGATGGCGTTGTGCGCCTTCAGCCGTTGCCCGTGGAGGATTCTTTGTTGACCCTCGAGTTTCTGCTTCGGCTGCGCGGTCAAGCGGTGTCCTCGTTGCCAAAGGCGCTTCAGGAGAAGGTGCGCGATGCGCGACGCCAGCGAACCGCCTCGGCGGCGTCCGAACCCCAAACCGCGGCCTCGTCCTCGGCGTCTTCGCCCGCGTGCCTGACGCTGGAGGACAGCCTACGCTATCTCGACGATGCCCCGGCGCCGATTGTGGGGTTTACCGACAATTTGTACCCCCGGCATCAGCTCCGCAGCCCGGCCTTCCTCTTTACGCTCTACCTCGAGAACGTCTCCGCGCAGAACGCGCTGGGGCACCTCTCGGCGTTGTTTAGCATCCCGCAGAAGTCCTTTCTCACGCGGACGTCGGCGAACAAAATGTCCTGCGCGTCGCTGCTCTGCGCGCTGGAGGCGAATCGCCTCCGTCGGGAGCATTTACTCCTCGTCAACACCATGCGCCACCCGGGGTTCGTCATCCGCGTGAGTGGGATTCGCGAGATCACGACGTGGGAGGCCGCCCCCACGATCGATCGCGAGGGCGAGGAAAAGGGGGAAGAACCCCCGAAGGGGGCGCGCTCTGGGGAAATGACCCCGACCGAAGGCCTCTTCGGCGAGCTCGCGCGGTGGGAGCCGCTCTACGAGATCGAACTCCTGCTCCGACGCGTCGCCTGTCGAGGCCGGGACGAGCTCGAGCACCGAATGCGCGCGGTGCGGGAGGTGGGGGGGATCTTCTACTGCGCGAATCGGGAGGCCTCGCTGGGGCGGGCCGCCACGGACATCCTGCACGGGTACTACAAATCCGCCCTGCTGAACGCCCTCCGGCGGCGAAAGCCCCCGATGGAGATGCGGCAGTTTTTTATGAATCCAAACCTCATCACCGCGGCCCGCGCGCGGCGCGCGAGCACCGACGCGACGATCCGCCAAACCCTCAAGGCCTTCATCGCGACGAACGGCGACTGGGCCCAGACGGCGGCGCGGGTGCCGTACGTCTGGCGCCGGCGCTGGATTAACGCGCTGCGGGCGTCGGTCTGGAATACGATGGCCTCGAAGCGGGTGCGCGTCGCCGGGCGACAAGTGGTCGTCGGGGATGCCGTGATCCGACCCTCCTACCGCGGCGACATCGACCGCCGTCTGCTCATCGCCGTCAAGACGGAGTACGTCAAGATCGTCGAGACCCCAGAGGAGGCGGCGCGGTACTCCCTGGAGGATGTCTTCATCCCTTTTTTACGCGGCGGGCGTTATCCTGACGACCACTTTGCCCCGACGGAATCCGGGCACGTCATCATGACCAAGTCGAATATGTTGAAAATCTTGCGGGAGGCCCACGCCCAGCACCTGCTGCTGGGGTTCCCGGAGGGGGCCAAATCGCTTCTCGACATCCGTGTGGATGTGGCGCCATTGCTATGGCGCCGGCTCTTGCAGCGCCCGATGGCGATGTCCTTTACCATTCTTGAAGATAAGGCACCCCTACGCTCCACCCACTTCGATGCCGCGCGTATTTTAAAGAGCGATCGGTGGGATTTGAAGCCCGAGAAATGCCCTACGCTACCGCCCGCGTCCCCCCGCCTGAAGGCCCACGACACTGCGGGAACGACCGCCAGCCCTCCTTCTTTCTTTCCCACCCCCGAAAGCAACCTCCTCGACCCGCACGAGATTCTCGCGCGCACGACCCTGGGGTCCCAGGTGCGATCGGGTACAACGCCCCACAATTTTTTTGAGATCCCATCGCAGGATCAGTATGTGGTGCCCGGACATGCCAGACGATTTTTAGAGGGGGAGTTTGTGGCCTCCGCCCCGCACACCCCTACAGCGGGGCTGGGGGATCGTCTTTACACCCTGCATCTTCGCGCGATCACGCGACATGGGGTGGCGGGCCTCACGCAGCTCCTGCGGGAGTATTTCATTCTGAGCGGGGTCGAGGCCGAGGTGGACGGCGCTCTTCAACATAAAGTCCATCGGGTTCGTCGCGAGCTCGACGGGGAGACGCCGTTGTTGACGGCGCCGATCTACTGCGTGGCGTGTTATAATCGAGGCCACAACACCCTCGAGGACTGCGCGGAGTATCGTTTAAAGCAGCAGCGCCGACGTCGGCCCCTCGAACTTTCTTTGCCGAAGGCTCCCGCCGAAATTTCCTCCGCTGCGCCCTTGCCTTGCCTTGCGTCGGGGCCTACGCGACTTGCACTACGGCTCGCACTACGCCGTCGTTCGCCGCTGGAGAAATGGGGCGTGCACCTCACAAAAACCCTTTTTTTGACCCGACTCGAGGACGCGAAGCGGGCGGTGGGAATTCAGGTTTGGCCCCTTGCCCCGGGGGGGGAGGTCGTGCAGGGTGCCGCGGCGGCCTCGAGCTGGCCCTCGTGGCTTATTTCGCAAGCCCGCCGCCATCGCGTTGGGTCCGTCCAGAAGGATGAATATCCAAACCACGATCGTGGTCGCAGCGAGGCCTCCTTGACCGACGCCACATCGACGCAAGTTGAGGGCACGGAAGCGATAGTTCGGTTTCTTTCTTTATTCTTTACCGAGGACGACCTTCAGAGGGCCCTTCCACAATCATCATCCACCACCCAAGGGGCTGGTGATAATTTAGTCCCCTCCTTGCCAACGACAAGCGGGCGCGACCATGTGCTTTCGGCGCGTCCAGGCGATTCCGTAGGCCCCATCCTCACAGCGGCGGACCCGGACGGGATTTTCCGGCGTTGTGAGTGGCGCCTAAAAGCCATCGACGGGGTCGAGGTGGGGGACCGCCAGGCTGTCGCCGCCGCCTTCGCGCCCCACGACGCGACCCACGAGTTGGCCTTAACCTTCGAAGCCGCGTTGCCGGCCCCGCCCCCGCCCCCCTCGGCCGCCCGGCGCTGGGTCGGGGCCCTGCCGGCGACGCTCCATCTCAGCCTGGCGCGCCCCGCCTCGGTGCCGAAGGCGGCCCCGTGGGGGCTGCAGGTCCGCGGCGACGCCCTGCACCTCGCCAACCTCGCCGACCTCCTGTCACAGCACGCGGAGACGGCGGGGACGGCCGTAACAGGAGCTCCACACAGCCCAGTTGTGACAACAGCCTCACATGGCCCGGTTGTGACAGCAGTCCCACTCAAACCAGCTGTAACAGGAGCTCCACACGGGCCCTCGGACGCCTTCTCAGCCCAGGCTCTCAAGGGGGTCGAAGGGGGGGTCCGCGAGGTCGCGCGGTGCTTCGCCGCGGAGCTGAACGCGATGTATCGCATCACGCGGCTTAATGGGTCGCGGGTCGACTCCCGAAAAGGCCTCGCGGCCGCGATGGCGGCCTTTCATGCACAGCCCACAAGCGTCGTAGGGGAGTCGCCCGAGCGAAGAAAAAGACGCTCGGCGGACGCGATGCCCACCACCATGAGTGTGGTTTTTTCGAGCGTTGGGGGGCCTGGTGAGGTCCATGATGATGCCGTATGTTGCCGTCTTCAGATTGAACTGCAGCGGAGTCCTGAAAATGATGAGTTGGCCGCGTTAGCAGTCGAAAAGCCGCTCCAGGTAAACTCCCACGCCGTTAAGGCGCAGACGTCGGACCCTGCACGTGGGCCGAAGGCCTCGAAAGACCTCAAACCTTCCTCTCCCCGCACTAAGGGTGATTTGGTGGGGGGTGCGGTGGAATCGAACGCATCTGATTCCTTATCAGCGGTGTTGAGCGTCTCCAGCGTGGTTGGCGCGTCGTCCGAGACCGCAGAGGGCCCGGGGGCTCTCAAAACCACGCAACGCATTCTGACCATTACGATAAACCGCCGCGTGTGGAATGCGGCGACTGAGGGTCGCTGGGGAATTCGCGTGCAGCGCGGTACGTGTCGGCTAAAAAACATCCAACACAATAAATTATTTTCCTTTACTGTCTACGCGTATAAACAAAGGCAGGCTCTGCGGGCCTCGAATACCTTGCGGGATTACGGCGCCGTCGACAATGTGGACGCGCGCGCGGCGGAAGGAGTCACCTTCGCGAGCGCGCTGTACTTCGTGATCGCGGTGAACCACGCCGAGGTTGGGAATTATGCGATGTTGAGGCTTGCCCTTCAACCTACGTTGAAAGGAAAAGCGGCCTCGTTGGGGCCCGAATCCATCACGCTGCGGGTGCGGCAATTCATGCTGGGCCGCGTTACCGTGATGGTACGCCGCGGTGGGCCGAACGAGCCCAGTGCCCTCGCCCCCATCGGGCTGAGTTTAAATGGCGATCTCTCCGTGATGGGAATTGATGCAGATAGCGCGATGGCAAATGGAGTGCGTGCGGCGACTGGACCGCATTGCACGCTTCGGCGATTAATTCGGCCCGCATCGTCATCTCCGTCCGATGGCACGTCGAATACGCCGGGCGTGGAGTGGTTCGCTATTCCAGTCCTAAAGACGTCGTGGGAGTCCTTTCATGCTGTTTTAATGAAAGCAGTCAACGCGGATTCCACCACTGTGGACGTGAAAGAAACGAACCGTCGTAAGCGATATAGCCTGGATGAAGACGAAACGCAGCGTCTAAATGGGGGTAATGCCGCTTCTCGACGTGAATCGGAGCGTTCGTCGATGAGTGCATCCGACGATGAGTCTGGACATGGAGATGATGACGACGTCCTTGTGGCTCTTCGTAAACTTACTAAGGTGTGCAGCGACATCGTGGTGGATCTTGAACGGTGTACCATGGTGGATGCCTTGCAACTTATGCAAACTATGTTGCTCCAAGAATTTTCCAATGCACAAATCAGTCGCTATCAGACATTCCAAACGGAGGAGGAATGTGCAGATAATCATGTGGTAGAGGCAGAAAAGGATTTCCCAAGGAAACAAAGGCAAGAGAAACTTTACAAGGACATTAAAGACGCTGTGGATTCACTTTTTCAGGACATGGAAGAATGTGACAAACATATTAAATGGAGATTAATCTATGCGGTCAACGCGCAAATGACCATGCGTACACCGAAGGATGTTCAAGATGTTATGCGGCCCGGTGTTTCGGAGGAAAGCCTCATTCTCCAGCAATATTTTTTAGAATATTAAGTCGAATTGCTCACAAATTTCAGCGATATACACCAAAAGATAGGTTTCGGATTTTTTGTCCTTCTGCAAGTTAAGGGTGCTGTTGACGGTGTACGTGGTGATTATTTGAAGAAAGCGGAACTCTTCAAATCAAGTAGAATATGTTAGCTTGAAAGGATAAAAAAGCGAGGTTGGTATAAGTTATCCCCTTCAAAGCTATCATACCTCTTGGTCACATACTGGATGGAGTTGAATTTTAAAACCCAAGAGTCACGTTAGTAGTTCAAAATGTTACTGGGAAAAAATATCATATTGATGGGTTTTATCTTTTGAAGCTATTTGTGATTTCTTTTCTTATGCATCTTGTTCTGACACCTTTGACAGAAGCGGTTCTGCTTTTAGGAAAATTTGAGCAAAAATACGAGAGATAACTTACTAGTATCTCTCTACGAGATATAGCTTATATACAGTAGGCGCACGGGAATTTGTTTTTAATTTATATTTATTGCATTGGACTCACCCCCACCACCACCACCCCGACGTCTATACAAGATCACTGAAAGCAGCATTTGCCCCCCCATCTACGACGAAAAAAGGCCAGCCAGGGAATTCAGACGATTCAATCATGCAGACCGACGCCCCCCTGGACGCGGAGCGCGAGGCGCTTCTCGCCAATGTGATGAAGAAGTCAATCGAGCGCAAAGGCATCAAATCCCGGCTTCGCAAAATCGAGACCGACACGAAGGCCCAGCAGGAGGATCTTCAGCGAGTGGAGGACCAAATCCACGCCCTGTTGACCATCGGCCACTACATCGGCGAGGTCCTCAAGCGCGTGGACGATGAGCGGTTTATCGTGAAGAGCATCAGCGGGGCCCGGCACCTGGTGGGCTACAAAAAGAGCATCCAGCCCGAGCGGCTCAAGTTCGGCGCGCGGGTGGCCCTGGAGGTGACGACCCTGACGATCGTCAAGATCCTCCCGCGGGAGGTGGACCCGCAGGTCTACAGCATGAAGTACATGGGGGGGGACCAAAACGTCTCCTTCCAGGAGATCGGTGGGCTGCAGGAGCAGATGCGGCAGATGCGCGAGGTGATTGAGCTGCCCTTGACGAACCCGGAGCTCTTCTTGCGAGTGGGGATCGTCCCGCCGAAAGGGGTTTTGCTCTATGGACCCCCTGGGACGGGGAAGACGTTGCTCGCCAAGGCGATCGCCGCCAACGTCGACGCGGCGTTTTTGAAGGTAGTGGGGTCCGCGATTGTGGATAAGTACATCGGGGAGTCGGCGCGTATTGTTCGCGAGATGTTCGCCTACGCCCGGGAACATGAACCTTGTATTATCTTTATCGATGAGGTGGATGCCATCGGCGGCAAGCGTATCGAAGGATCCTCCTCCGATCGTGAGATCCAGCGAACGCTGATGGAGCTGCTGAATCAGATGGATGGGTTCGACCAGCTCGGGAAAGTGAAGTTGATCATGGCAACGAACCGTCCGGATACGCTGGATCCGGCCCTCATGCGGCCTGGTCGGCTTGACCGAAAAATCGAAATCAGTTTGCCTAATGAAGCCGGTAGGCTTGATATCCTTCGAATCCATGCCTCGAAGATCACGAAGCGTGGGGAGATCGACTACGACAGCGTAGTGAAGCTCTCCGAGGGCTTCAACGGCGCCGATCTGCGGAATGTGTGCACAGAGGCAGGTATGTTTGCTATTCGTGCGGGGAAAGACTACGTCGAAAGCGATGATTTTAACAAGGCGGTACGAAAAGTTGTCGATATGAAACGTTTGGAAGGACAGGCACACCAATACTCCGTGCAATAATCCAAGAATAAATAAAAAATGAAGAGGAGCTCAAACGCCTCAATACGAGAGTACTTTTCTTTGTCTTTCCACCGCTACAACTGAAGAGTTGAAAGCTACATACATATGCATGTGGGTATTTGTGAGTTTATGTGGTTTTGCGTGAGGTTTATTCGCACTTTGCATGTGCGCATATGGACCTAGGAAACTATAAGCAGAATGAAAAAAGGAGCGAAACCATTTCTATCAACGCATTTTACTACTTCGCCATCTCTCTAGTAATCTCCGTTTCGCATACTCCCATATCTTTCTTTTTGTCTATAACTGAACATGATGTAAGCTTTTCAGTATATTCTATTATATTCTAAGTTTTTTTTGTTCAGTTTGGTGTGTGAATTGGAATGATAAAAAAAAACAGCGCCGTTATAAACGATTACTAAATTGTTTGGTATGTCAGATCAAGTCTTTTTTCAAATAATTGCCATCACAGTCAATGCGTAGTTCTATGTCTAAAATAGCCCAAATAGAGGAGGGGAGTTTTGTCTTATTAAACCCCTTCGTGAGTATTCATCCGTGGTACGGATAGTCTAATGGAGCTAACACAATGAAAGGTTTATGATGATAATTTTTAACTCAATCCATTGTTATTGACCGTTGTGTGTGTTCACTGGACTCTTTAAACTACGACCCTTTTTATGCATTAGTAGCAACAAAAAGGAGTAAAGATGAAATTATCGTTTTTTAGGGAAACTACAACCCCTTAACTCCTTATTTCCGTAGGAAACTAAAAATTAAAAATTAATTGGATTCAGCCCAAGAACTCACTTCAGGTTTCTAACATTAGCACTTACTCCTTTTCTTTATATTTTTATTCATTTAAATAAGAAAATAGTAGGTAACTATATATCAACCAATCAATCTAATAATTCTTCTTAAGTTTGAACACTCATACATCTTCATCTAAAAATTCAGCAAAAAGAAGTTTGCATTTATATGCGCAGTAAGCTGATTTTTTCGTGTTTTTGAGATGACATTAGCTTAAATAAAAAATTATAATTTTAAGTGGCACATGTTGCTCGACAATTCGTTTCACATTTACATTTCATATTATTTATGGTTTTGGTTTTTATTATCGTTCTTACAGTCTTCCGTTATTCGGTGCACGAGAACCTACCATGTCGGAGCGATATTTACGATGAAGACACCGTCTGAACGCACTAATATTCCGTTCCTCGCATATCTTAATCTTATCTCAAGAGACCATTAGACGCATAATTTGGCGCGCTATAATATTTTGAACGGTGCTATGTGTTTTTTTACAGTCTATTCTGCGACCGCTTGATGGTTTAAATTTCTACGTGAGGGAAATGATGGAAAGCGAAGCAATTTTTATTGATGAAAAACGGTATCATTTAATATTGTTGAAACATGGGAACTTTGATTAGAGTCTAACGATGTTCAAACAGATTAGGAATAGTTATATCCAAATGGAACCTATAGTTCTCGAGGCTCGACTCCTAAATTGACAAATTTTTTTAATAACAATTCCTTTAGCGACATGGCATTCTTATGCTACAACAACCCTCGTCAGTAATATCTGTAAAATACACTGGTAATAAGCACGATTTACTATGATGAGAATCATAACCACACAGAGTGTATTTGAGAAAAGCAACAGGAAGTTTTGATATTGTGGAATGTGCAGTGCAAAGAAAAATAGGTATTCTATCATCGAATATTCTTTGATCATTTGTAGCGCTCCTGAAATGTATGTGGTACACCCAATTAAACCCATTGAAAGAGATTGGAACAAATTTTCCTTTTTTTTGACCAGCAAGACTCCACCAGATGTCGTATTAACCCACCAATATACATCTGTATGGCTAATGTTGATACTTTAGTGTTCAGGCATTCCTGTGGATGTCCGCGTTTCTGTCAAGTTGAAGTTTGCACTTTCGTAAGTGCAGTTGAACTTTTGAAAAATGAACATTTTTTCTGACATGTTGGCAAAAGCAAACGACGCAGTGATGATGTGCCTGTAGATGATGGCTGCGATGGGCGTCAGCCTGGTGTAGAAACAGCTTAATTTAACCACACCAAAAAAAGGAATATTATCATTCTTGTATCATCTACCTCCTGGTCAACCACTGCGTGCGTATGGAAGTCCGCTTGGATTTATTGAATCTTTATGTATTTCCTCGCCATCATGTTTTTTCACAGGTTGAATCTGGTCAGAATTTTTTTCTCAAGCGCTGGTGGTGGCATAGTTTTTCAGAGGGGCCTGTGCGGCGATCTCTGGTTCTGTCAAACTGACGTGCTTTTCACAAGAGCTCGGACGTAAAGGAGGACTCCCCCGAGAGAAATGAGGGTAGAGGTCCATTCCGCGGTGGAGCTCCTGGTCCCGAGGGTCGGTGACGCGATATCAGGATTCAGGTTCATATTATATGGCTATTTTTACACTTGCAATATGAGCGTTTCGTACTTCTCCCCTTCAGCTATGGACTTTACTTTTTCCATTGCTTATCATCAGGTTTTATCACCCAGAGGATTTCTATATGTGGATAGTATTTAGACACCTCAATGATTTGTGTCATAAGGTAGCTATCCTTTTGTTTATGCAAAAAGACTTTATTTCAATGCATAAAGCAAAGTATGTCAATATAAATTAATATCCTTGATGATTTCTATTACATCCTGTTAGACTAAAAAATATTGTTCCACACGAGCCACACTCATTTACTTTAGTGTGTTTATATGCTCTCATCACTCTGTCCTCTTTCTACAGTTTCCTTTCAATGATCTTAGAATGGACGCGCCGTGCATTTGTCCCCATGTTACTTTATTCTTCGTTGTTGTTTTTGTGGCTGCGGGAGAGGGATGTGTTGATTTCATCGCATCCTTTAGCAACTCACCCATATTTCGGGTCACATAACAAGATAACTTTAGCGTACATGGGGCTCATATGTATTTTACCTTTATGGTGATTAATTCATTAATTTACTATCTCTTTCCACACAAACAGTCTCTTTATTCTGTCATAATTCATATGCACATAAATAATATTGGTTCAAGAAATTAAACTGTGGAAAGGGTATTAGCTCCCAGAGAAAAGCAACCAATAATAGCAAAAAAAAAAAAAGTTGGGTCAAGGTAATACATAAGCTCCCAACCCCACCCCACCCCCTCCGCTTATCATTTATCCCCTATCCATGTCCACCTCTAGCTCATTTGTGGATCTTTTCGAGTTATCCGATCACGCGCCGCCACCCGTCTCACAAAGACAAGCCAACGGTGATGACTTCATGACTCTGCCCGACCTCGAGCGAGTGGGTCTGCAGCCCGTGTTCAATCAACGCTGTCGTGAAGAAGTCCTCGGCCGCCATCCCCCACAGCAGCCCATCCCCACGGAAAGGACGTCCGGGGTCGGGTGCTTTCTCCCTCCCCGGCCGCGATGGCCGTTCGCGACGTCCACGTCCGAACGCGCCCTCAAGAAGGGAAAAGGGGATAGGGACGGGACTGTCACAGAAGCCACCAGTGTCACGGAGGCTACTAATGTCACAGAGGCCACCAGTATCACGGAGGCTAAGGACATGGATGTAACTGAGGCTAAAGATGTAACGGAGGACAAGGAAGAGCCCCAGAGGAGGGTAGGATCCCCGACAGACCCGGCGTCCTCCACCCCGACCTCTGTGGGGCCGTTGTCCTGCCAGCGGAATCTTCGCGGGGGGTTCTTTTTCAGCCTCAACGTCGAAGACTCCGACGACGCAAGCCGAGAGGAAAGCAGGGAAGGGAACTTGGTGGTACTCCCGGTGAACTCCGGTGATGAACGGCAAGAAAAGGAAGAGAAAGAGGAGGAAGGCCCCACAGAGACTTCGGCATTGACCTCGTGCGATGAGGATGCTGCGAAGTCTTGGCATGACCTTGGTCTTGAAGTCCGCTTGCGCTGGAGCAAGCTCCCCCCTTTGAGTCTGCACGAGTTGCTCTCACTTGTGATTGTCCTACTTATTCCGGTGAACATTCTTATCTTAGATCTGGTGTGTTTGGATTTTTTTAGAAAGATACTCATTTTCAAGCAGTCCCTTGGCCTCTGCCGGAAGATGATGACTAGCCAGACGGTTTCGACCGAGATGCCCGAAAGATGGGTCTCAAACGACAATCCAAACTCACCCTGCAGCATGTGGAAGATATCGTGGCTAGCGGTGCTTCTACTCTGGCTGCTTTTACCAAATGGTTTGATTATCGGGGGCATCCTCGCTAATATTTTTGTATACAAAGAGCAGAAACCGCGTTCAGGTCCCTCAGATATCCCGACCGCTTCTTTAGAGAGCCTTCGCAAGGGATTTTTGACTCATAGAATAAATGAGAAAGAGCTATCAGGTGGTGGTGTTTTCACACAGCAGGATCATGCCCTGTATCCTGATGAACTGACGGGTGTGCAGCGCACTTTTTGCTCGCTATGGAGCTTCCTGAAGGTGACGTGGAAAGACGCCCATGCGATTGAGGGACATCTAAAGTTTTTTTACTGGATGTATCATGAGATAATTGGAAGTTATATCATATTCAGAAGAAAACACAAATGTTAATATATATTTATTCATCACAATTCCCTTGTTTTATTTGTAACATGTTTCCTCACATGTTCCGATTTTCAAGGAAAAGCAAGAAAAAGGATGCTAAACACTTCCTTTCCCATCTATCGAGTAATAAAATTAAGTCTACTAGGTAGGTATTGATATCATACGATATTTGTAGTGAGGCACATTCCTCCATCGATAAAGTAGCGAGATGGAGGTATATTGGGTTGCTAAAAAGTTCAAATTTTTCATTTTTCTTTATAATAAAAACAAAAAGATGTTCTTAGTCTAGGTTTATTTTATATTTAATGGTTTCAGTACCATTTATCTATATTGAGTATTTCTTTTTTGTTTCGTCATGCGTTGTGTATTTCCAAAAACATTTATAACTCTTATTCCATTCAACGTATCTCTTATATTATTTATTCCTAATAAAAGATTGCTACATTGAAAAGATGTTCGTGTAAATTTGTCAAAAAAAAACGTACTTTATCTTTTTAAAAATGAAAAGAAGTGAAATGAATGGGGTGCGTTGTGAATCCTCGTGGTCCACGACCATACGAGATGTTTAACTCATCATCATCTCCTTTTTTTTTTACCACTACCACTACCATCTCCAACTCTGCCTACAAACTTGCAAGCATTTCCAATAGCAAACAAAAAACTAGCTGGTAGGCCACGACGTCTGTGACACCGCCTCACACCTGAAGGATTCCAACCACGGACCTGCAAGTTGAACCTGTAGTAAATACACCTCAACCCAACCTTTGGTAGTGTTGTGGTGGGTAATAAGGCGCCATGAAGCTGCTTAAGTTCATCAACAGCGACGCGCCGCAGACGTTGTCCGGCGCCGAGCTCACGTCCGATCGGCTCTCTTTTCCAAGCCCCATGGCGCACGCGGAGATGGCGAAGTCGTGGACCCTCCACTCCATTTCGACGGCGGCGCAGGGGGGGGGTTATTGGCTTCTCGACGACAACGGCAAACCAATCGGGATCCTCAACGACATCCTTCTCGCCATTCCGGCAGGGGAGGAGGTCGCGACCTGCGGTTCGGTCCCACGCGCTGTCATCACCGATCACGAGGTCAACGATCTCGACTTTCGAAGTAAGCTCGGTCGACAGCTCGAGCGCACCCGTGCGGAGTACGGCGTGACCTACAAGACGGCCGCCAAGTCCGCACAGGCGTTGATGGATGCGAGCGAGCTGAGCGAAAAGCGACAAGAACGAATGCGCCGCGAGCGGGAGGCCGTCGTCGAGTCGATCGAAGCAGGTGAGTCGGTGGTCGATAAACCCAAAGCAAAGCGCGCCAAAACGTCGGTAAAGTAACCTATAAGGAGATTATTCTTGACTCTGATTGTACCCATCGGTGCACACTTTGTGAGGCGTGGTGGAAAGAAAGGCAATACTCTTTCAGGGTAGGACCAAAAGCAAACAAACGAAAAAGAAGCCAAATAATCGGTGCGGAGCGATCGTGAAGATGTGCGTAATACGTGATGCGATCATGGCTCTAGTCGTTCTTCACAATCCTAAGATGTGTGGTGATGATGGGGTTTAAAGGAGGAGGAAGTATTCTTTTTTGGTGCGTGAAATGCTCAGATGTTGGCTTTTATTAAGCTTAAAGCTAAATTGGAGTATTTATTCCATCGTATAAATATTTGAGGTAAGCTAAATCGATGTCATCGTGTAAAACTTATACACGATGTAAATAGCAGGGACCATTAGCTTTGTTGGACATATTTGTCTAAAGAATGGGATTGATACCCCCAATATACACAATAAGTAATGATACTCTTTCTCTTCAATTTGATCATGTATTCCCTCCCCATCTTTTTATTATCTGATGGAATGTTTATAGAAGAACAAGAGAAACCGCACGCCATATATGCACATGCATACGTGTGGGATAAAAAGTGTTAATTCGACATTTTTTTATGCCTTTCACATATATTTTTATTTATCCATTCTCATAGAGGGGAAAGGTTGACCGTTCAATACGGACAGTAAAAAACACTTGGGTTGGGAGATTTATTAATCCTATCCATACCGAAGGATGCCACTAATCGGTCCGTATCAGATCCCTTTTCCTTTCCCACCATACAAACTTCAAGAACATGCCGTCACGGAGCTCCGAAAATTTCTCGATGCGGGGGTGGAGGTTGGGGCCAGCGACGAGCCGCCCGAACCAACGGCGTGTGGCCGATTCGATTCACAGTCGCCTCTAGGCGAGTCGGCATCCACTTCCTCGCCGCGGGTGGTGGTGTTGGAATCACCGACGGGGACGGGGAAATCCCACATCTTACTAAGCAGCGCGCTCTCTCACTTGTTCTCCCCGGTATACCCTTCCACGGCGGCGACCGGGGAAATCGCGCGGGAGGCCAAAGGCGATCCGGCGCTCCGCGCCTCCGGGGACGCACCGACGGCGGGCCCCCCGACGTCCTTGCGCGAGGTCCTCCGCCAGCGCCAGCTCGAGGAGCTTATCGCGCAGCTAAAGCGCGAACGGAAAGAGCGGATGAAGCTGCGGCGTCGACAGCTCCGCGCGGCGACGAAGGCGCTCGCCGCACAGGCCGCCATCCCCACCTCACACGACAGCCCCCCCGCTAAAAACGGCGCGGAGGATTTTCTCATCCCCCAACAACGACCCGACGTCGGGGAAGGCGACGACTGTCTTTTCACGCAAGGGGCGGCGAGGCCTGGATTCGTCCCCGGGCCTCGCTTTTCCCGCTCTTTTTCGTCGTCGTCGTCCTCGGCGTCGTCTGCCAACTCCGAGGACGCGACGCCGTACCGGACGATGGAGGACCTCTCCGGGCTTATCCCGCTGCGGAAGCCCAAGGCCTACTTCGCGAGCCGCACGCACACCCAACTCCAGCAGCTTCTGGACGACCTCCGTCGGACCGATTTCGCGCGCTTTCCCATTCGCCCCCACCCCCCGCGGGGCGGGCGGCCTGAGGGAAGGCCGGGGGGGGAATCGCCCCCCCCCGCTCGCGCCCTGCGCGCCGTCCACGTCGGGGGACGCCAGCAGCTCTGCATCAACGCCCCTCTACGCCGAAGGGCGGCGCGGCTTTCCGCCTCGTCCGGGGAGGCCTTGAATGAGATGTGCCTCGAGGCGATGCGGTTTGAGCACTCCGCGAGCGGCCGCGCGCTTCGCCGCCGCGCGGGGGGGACTTCGCGGAAGGCCGATGCCCTCGGCGACATCGAGGACCTCGGGGGGGGGCCTCGGGCTTCCCCCCGGGGGAAAAAGAAAAGGGCTGCGCGTACTGCGCGACGGAGCGCCTGCATGCGCTGATTCAGGCCGTCCAACGCAGGGCCGAGCCCCTGGCGGCGATGTCGGCGGGGCCGTCGTCGTCCTCCGTGGATTCGCCCTCAGGGGTGTTATCCATGGCGGGGTTAAAGCGCCTGGGGGAGGAACTCAAGGCGTGTCCGTACCTCGCCACGCGGCTGCTCGTGCGCGGGGCGGATGTGGTGATGATCCCGTACGGGTATTTGGTGGAGGAGGGCCAGCGTGAGGCGCTTCTCGGCGGCGTCGCCACGAATCCCTTCACGGAGGAGGAGCATTCCGCGACCTTCGAACGCGAGGCCGCCGAGCTTCTTCAACGGCGTCAAGCCGATACGATTGGGGTCGATCCCATTCCTTCGGGAAGTGGATTACGACCTAAAAACAACAACATCGAGCAGGGTGCACATGTTCTTCGGCCGAATGGATCGCTTTCTGACAGCAGTTCCGCCGCCCTGCAGGCCAAGAAGCATTCGGGAAGGCTATTATCCACCGCACCAGAAGCGTGTTTTACGGATGATGTGGTGGTCATCGATGAGGCGCACAATATTGCCGACTACTGCCGTTCCGTCAGTACCGCCACGATGAGCGATGTCGAGCTGCGGATGATATCGCTTACCCTCCATGAGTATCTTAAACGCTACGAGAACCGACTTCTCACCAAAAACAAGCAGCGCCTGCGTGAGATCCTGCTTTTTATCCACAAACTCACGCAGTACGCGAGCGCGTTTGTGAAGAAGCCGATTCCGGCACTTGAGAAGGGCAAAGGGGGTTCAGACCCGGGGTGGGGGGTTGGCCGCGGCGCCGAGGGGGATCCCTCGGTGTTGGCCTTCTCGACCTTTCTCTTCGAGGCCGACCTCGCGCACGTGGACGTCTTTGCGTTTCGCGAGTTCCTCCACCACACGCGGCTGCTGAATAAACTGCAGGGCTTCGCGGGATCGCTGGGGCCGGATTGGATGGCGGCGCTCTTTCCCAGTTCCCACCCCGGCCACGGCCTTTCCACCCCGCCGGAGGTCTTTGCCGTCGCGATAACGCGGGCGTTTCGGGGGTTTGCTCACTTTTTGCGCAGCCTCGACATCGCCGACGACGCGACGCGGGTGATTCTCACCCCGG